GCGGGGTGAGTGGTATGAGTGAGGGGGGCTTAGTGTGGGGCATGAGTGAGGAGGGGCTAAGTGTGGGGCATGAGGCATGCCACTTAGTATGAGTTTCGTGCAGCCCACGGTGCGGGGCGGGCGGGGGGCGGTTGGGACGACGAGGGCGAGACGGGGGGCGGCGCCCCCAGCCTCGTGTCGTCCCTGACGACTGACGAGGCTGGGCTGAGCAGCGCGCGCACCTCACCTCCTCTCACCGCCAGCGCTGGCGGGGCACTGAGCCTGCAGCGGGCAACCAGCGTCGCGGAGGTATCGAGTCGTGTTTAAATATTGATTTTAATTAATGTTTTAACGATTATATAGTCCAATAATATATTATATTATTATATTGTATGGTAATAACTACGTATTAACAACCGTATATGTTAATATTTATATTTACCTAAATATTATGGTTAGAAATTTATCACATGCGGTGATTATCATATCATATTAATATATTATATTTTTATATTATATGTTAATAACTACGTATCAATTATATGTTAATAATTATATTTACATAAATATTATGGTTAGAAATTTATCACATGCGGTGATTATCATATCATATTAATATATTAAATTTTTATATTGGATGTTAATAACTACGTATCAATTATATGTTAATATTTATATTTACCTAAATATTATGGTTAAAAATTATGATTATGACGGACGTTTACAGGCTGACGCCGCAGCGTCACTGGTGGACGACGTGCTGACGTCGGCCGCCCGTGGCTGGCCCGTCCCGTACACGTCGTTCACGGCCCACGTCGCGGCCGCTGCTGACGTCGACGCGCGCAGTCTCGTCGCGTACGTCGCACGTCGCCTTGACGACGTTCATCGTCAGCCGCTGACGTCAGGCCAGCAGATGGCGCCGCTGACGTCAGGCCAGCAGATGGCGCTGCTGACGTTGGTTGACGTGTGCGTTCATGATGACGTCGTCTCGCCTCGTCTCGTGAAGCAGCTTCTGCTGACGACGCTGACGAGACTCGCTGCAGGGCAAGACGTCGAGAAAAACGTCTCGACGCGCGCCACGAGACTTGCCCTCGAAACGCGCGCCCTCGCTGGTCTCTGCGAGCGGCGAGACGCGTGAACGCGAGACACGTGAATGCGAGACACGTGAACGCGAGGCGCGTGAACGCGAGACGTGTGAACGCGAGGCGCGTGAACGCGAGGCGCGTGAACGCGAGGCGCGTGAACGCGAGGCGCGTGAACGCGAGACACGTGAACGCGAGACGCGTGAACGCGAGACGTGTGAACGCGGGACGCGTGAACGCGAGACGCGTGACCGCGAGACGTGTGAACGCGAGACGCGTGACCGCGAGACGCGTGAACGCGAGACGCGTGACCGCGAGTTAAAAAGTATTCAGTAAAAACATTCAGTAAATTGTATTTTTGCCTCAGTTTTTCATTTTACCCTCGTTGCCCTCAGCCGCGACACTCAAAGTGTCACGTGGGGAGTTGGCCTTCCCCAGGGAAGTGTTCAGCTAACTTATGTGTCTTGATGGGTCTAATGTGGCCCACTTGATGGGTCTAATGTGGCACACTTGATGGGTCTAATGTGGCACACTTGATGGGTCTAATATGGCACACTTGATGGGTCTAATGTGGCACACTTGATGGGTCTAATGTGTCACACTTGATGGGTCTAATGT